GTATCTGGATTTTTATTTTGTTTTGGATCGTATTTTCGTTTATTGCGTATACGCCACCAACTTGTTTTTCTCTTTCTGTCCATTGCGCCACCGACTACCGCTGGCCAGCCCGCTGAGATGCCCCCACCACCGGCTTTCCCTCCCCTCAGCGCCCTGGGGCAGCTTCACTAAAGTTGTTCACCTGTTGACTACTTCTGGTATTACGCATACAGCGCAGCAAAGGGGCCTCACTGTCATGGCTGTTGAGTTGGCTTTATTGCGATTTAGCTCGCTTGACTGTCTGTGCTTCATTGCCTCGGCGGCCGGTTGCAAGTCTTTTGTTATGCAGTCACTTACATTAGCATTGCGCACATTGTGCCCGATCATTTGGCTTTATCTTAGCCGATGTTTAAGATAAAAGTTGGCGTTTAAAAAAACATTAATATGCTCACAGTGTGTGCGTGTGTAACTCATTTTTTTCCACTATTATTATATTGTTGCATGTGCAGACCCAGACCCCCTGGCAAGGTTGTGATTGCGACAGTAGAGAGGCCAGTTTTTATATACTTTTTTCTTTCCCAAACATTCACCATTATATCAGCATCTCTTTTCTGCTCTTCAAATGCTTTATCGCGTGCGGAAATTACCGAATTAGCCGACTCTTGCAACAACAAAATTATTATTTATTAATTTAGTTTTTATTGTTTTGTACAGCCTCCGTTGCGTTATCGCTGATAGCACTGAAGCAGCTTCCTTACCGACTGCCCCATCAGACTGATGGGTACCGACATAAAATTTATAAACAAGAAAAATATGAGCCCGCTATTATATAATATTTCTTTATGTAAATATGTCTGGCTTCCTTTATGGCGAGAAACAAATTCCTGGTATTTCTTATACATAAAAAAAAGAAAAAAAAAAAAAAAGCAATACATATGAATTTAGCTTTTATTTATCTATATATTTGCACACTAGAATATTTTATTTATTTTTATTTAATTCCATTTTCTAATTAATTAATTTGACAGTTAAGATTTAATTTATTTGGATGGAATGTAATAATTAATTTTTCGCACACTTTGATTTACAATTATTTTACTTTCGTTCAAAATATTTCTGTTTCGACTATTTCTATTATAAAGCCGCTAACAGCTCTACAGATATTCACGTAACTGTTTGAGTTGCTCCCTTATTTTTGCAATACCAAATTGACCTACTCATATAACTGCAGACGAACCAAACAAACCCAAATACACTTAGTCAAAACACATGTTTTCTGCTGTGCGCCCCCTTGGGTTCAATAGCTTCACTTGATTCCATTTTAATTAGTTATTTATATGCAATGTATGTTACTGCAATGTAAGCTGAAGTACCACCGACTTATAGAGGCGACATTGACCGATTAAAGCCTCATAAAATATAATGTAAAGCGGTTTTGTCTCTTTTTTGCTTCTCTAAATGACTTGTATAGGATTTCCCTATAAACATAATTGGTAATATGCAGATATATACAAAATGTTGAAAGCACGTTTTTAAATTAACACTAAGAAGTAAACCAAATACAATTTTTAAATGTTATATGAAACGTACATATATAACATAAAATCAGTTAATATATTAAACAACATTATATGTTGCAAATTTCCAAAAATAAATCACAAAGTTTTATCAGTACGATTTGTAAAGTAGTTTGTATAAAAAGAACTCGGTAAAATGCTAGTATTTTTGGTATTTACTATTCAAAGATTTTATTACCATCATTCAGTCCGCCTCAACCAGAGTTACGATCAAATAAAACTTACCACACTTGATTTTTGTTGCATACCTTGAAGAGGTCACAAAATGTTGCGATTTTAAGTGACGCATACTTTTGAGCGAATATAAAATATACTCAGCATTAACCCATTAACTCCGAAAAGAAGAGCAGTCGCTAAAGTGAATGTATGTTTAAGTTAATTTTTATTTAAATGGTAATATGCATGGACTTATGGGTAATATACTAGTCGTATGGCTAAATGATCTATGATTGGATGTGCTTTTTATTCTATATGGATAATTTATGCTAATTAGAGAAAGAGAAAGAGATATAATGTAAACACTTTACAATTAATACATAGTAGTAGCTAAACCTTAGGCTATTTGGGTACTTAAATGCAACGGAACGAAGCTATAAACAAATATTTGTACAAAACTTTCGTGCAGTTATTTACAAGCATTACATAAGAGAACTAATTGCAACTTTTTTAAAACTAATTCAAAGTCTTTTCAATATGGATTCCAACGAAGCTCCAACGATGGTGTCTGCTGTGCGCTGTGTGGGTACGAGATCACAGAGATCGCTTCCGTTCAGGATGTGGCCATCAGCTTGGCGGCCTGGATGACATTGTGCTGATGATGATAGCCGGCCAGATCGCCGCTCGCCCCACCAGCCATTGCCGACGAGGCAGCACCGCCCAAGGCACCAAACGAGGCTCCAAAGTAACAATTGTTCACATAGTCATAATTAGTGGCACTTGCCTCTGTCTTCACTCCATATGCCGCAGCAGCTGCTGCCGCGTGCAGATGATGATGCGCTGCCGTGGCGTGGTGGCCGTGCGAGCTGCTCGCCAAATGGTGGTGTTGGTAGTGCGGCGAGGGCGTGCCGTTGCTCAGTGTGGGCGTGTCCGGCGCATTGCTGCTGTGCGTCGTATACGCAGAGGCCGCGGAGCTGCTGCCGGGCGTATACAGCTGCGAGCTGGCTGCATGCAACTGCCTGGCACTTAACTGTGATTGGTGGCTGAGCTGCTGATGCTGGTGTTGTTGTTGCTGTTGCTGCTGTTGTTGCTGTTGCTGCTGCTGCTGCTGTTGCTGTTGCTGCTGGGCATAGTGTGGAAAGCATTGCTGATGCGACGGGACCGTCTGCTGCTGCGGCTGCTGGCTATGATGCTGGCCCATGAGGCTGCTGCTCTTCAAATCCGTATGCAGCTTGTTGAGGCCGTGGCGTTCCAGGCTAAGCGTGGGCTTGAGATCTGCAAGGTACAGGGAAAGTGAACAAAGCTAAGGTTAGAAAAACTTGAAAGGGAACGTCAGTATAATAAGTGTACAATATCTAATGTAACAACAGACAAGATTTCCGATTTTAATATTAATAATATTGTATTTAGCAATGGCTTTCTCATCAGGAACGTCATTTCATTCTCCTTGTTGTGATTTAATGGCCTTGCTTTGCTTACCATGCTCCTCTTTGCACTCCTTGATGGCCTCTGTCGTTGAGCCCGATCCCGAGCTAGTACCCGCTGTGGAGCCACTGCCAGTTTTCTTCGGCTTCCGCTTGCGGGTCTGAATGCCGTCCTTGCGCATCGCCAGCGGCCGATTGACGCCGTGCAGTTTGAARTAGAGCCCACAGGCATTGCACACTGGCTCCCCGTCGTTGTTGCGCCTCCAGAGTGTGGTGGTGCGAGTGCCACAGTTGGTGCAGCAAAGGCCGAGGCGACGTGTKGCGGTCTGTTGGAGTCGGGAAGGGATTAGTAYGGATATTCACTGRCAATAGAGCTGTGGCTACTCACTGCACTCACCAGTCGCTTGCTGGGCTTTATCAAAGGCCGGTTCATGCCGTTCATCTTGTGATACAGACCGCAAGCGTTGCAGAGATAGTGGCCGGTGCCATCACGTCTCCAAAGGGGAGTGGAGATGGCACCGCAGTTGACGCACTCGCGCCCCTCGCCAAACTGAAAGTCCATGGCGCTCTCGTAAGGGGAGGAGCGCTGAAAGCCAGTTGGATCGTAGGCACTTCGCCAGGGCGCCATCATAACGGCGGCGTTTTGCGTGTAGAATTGCGCCGGCAGCTGCGCATGCGCCGATCCAAAGCTATCCGTGGTCCAGGCGTTCTGGGCCGCTGCAGCGCTACCAAAGTGAGCCGCTACGTGATTGTATTGGCGATTGGAGGGCACATATACGGGCGCGTTCACAGCCTGTTGGTGATGGTAGCCAGAGACGCCGGCGGCTCCTCCAGCTGCAGCCAAATCAGTGTAGGCGGCAGCCGCAGCGGCGCTGCTGCTATGGTACATCTTGGAGCTGGCAGCGACGGCGGCCACCTGCAGCTGCACGTTGTGGTAGTCGCCGCTCAACTGCGGATAGTCACGCGTTGACTGTTGATCCGAGGTCGACTGCAAAAGAGATGACCACAAAAGACAACTAATTAGATCAAAGTAACATACACACATACACTCTCTACCTCTGTCTCTCTATCTCTCTTTGGCTCACGCTTCATTCCTATCTCTCACTCTCTATCTACTGCCAGGCCAACTGGCTTTTTCTCTAACCCAATGCCACTCCCTCGCTCAGTTCTGTTTTCGGTTTCCCAGGTGCAGCTGCCATTGGGCGGCACCCCGTTGCTCGTAGCCATTTTGGTTGCTGCCTCTTGCTGCAGTTCTTGAGAGCTGCTGGGCTCCCTCACCATACACTCGCATGCACACACATGTGCTCTCTATCTATCCCTATCTCTCTCTCTTTCTCACCCTCTCTCTGCCTCTCAAAACTCGTTTTCCCAACAGTGCCCTTCCATTCCATCCCATCTTAAATGAATGGCGCGCTGCATCTTTTGTGACTCGTCTTTGTATCTTTGTGCATTTGCAGCACTCACAAGTGAGTTTCAACTTTTCGCCCTGCGTAGGCTCCACACTTTTTTCTTTGTATATATGTACATATACATATATGCTATATGTACGTGGGCCTTGGCCGTAGCTTTTTTTAATGACGGTCATAACTATTATATGGGATGCATTATATTCATTATCAACAATATTAATCATAATTTTACTGGCACAAAAACCTGTTGAGGTGTGTCTGTATCATATAGGTGTAGATGTTTTAAGGGTCAAATTAAGCAAAGCAGTGTAAGCTATATTAAAGTAAATTAGCACTGGAAACTAATTACTATTAATTACCATATCTTACAGAAATATTGAGATTTTTACTTTTTAATTGGCTTAATGGTCAACATGACATTACAATAAGTTAGTAATTTAATAACCATAAGTTATATATTTATTCTGATTTTCCAGAGTGTGAACAGGCTTTCTTTATTATTTACTATATTAATACTATTTCGACTATCCTTAAATTTTGTGTAATATTTTCAGCTTTACAACACATTTCAAACCATCATAATTTTATTTCAATTACGTCTCAAAGCCAAAAACGATCTTACTCTTCACCACGAAATTGCCAGAATTGTTTTGACTATTGGAAAGCATTAAAGTTTTTTTTTTTTTTTTTTACTGTTCCTTTTACTTCAAATAAATGTATCATTCARCATTTTTGCACCACATGAAATGTCTTCAAGTGCCATGGCCTGAGTTTCAATACATTTTCCGCATAGTCTTTTTTGTAGTTGTTGCTTTTTCTCCTTTACAAAAAGTACAATAACCAAAAGGCATATAAATATAGAAATCTGTTTTTCACATCAAAATCAATTAGGGCGCCAATTTCATGTATTTGTTGTATTTATATATATTAATGAAATATATTTACGAAAATACATTTGACGTCTTTATCTTATCCCAGAAWATTAATGCGATGATGTATGAAATTTTTAATTTCAATTTGCGCTTTTAATCTCTGCTGATTTCACAAATCAAACGCAAATACAACTGTTGCCCTGAGAGTTTTGAAAATTTAGACGCAAATGTTAAATAATTCTTAGCAAATAGCTCGATTGGACTCGATGTAACATATTACTCAATACAGGAAAATTGACTATGCGCATATTGTCTGAGAGGAGAGCTTTTGTTTAGCCGGCGGCACTTTTGTTTTTATTTGAGAACATAAACTGAATAAAGCAAATGATTTAGCAACTATTCCACATTAAAGCTGCTTATCGATCAGCCGGTTTCTAATTAGCGTTTTGATCATTTCCATCTAATTAAACGTGGGCAAAGAAAGCCGTTTGCAACACTTTTCCCCATTAGCCAGAAGATCAATTGACGCACATCTTAACACAATTCTCGAAATGCCAACGAAATGTGCAGCGTTCCACAAACGCATTTGAGGTAAGGGGAACAGCATAACAGCAACAACAAGAACCACGAGAATTCGAGTCATCAAAGAGTTGACCACGCGTGCATAATGACGTCGCTCCCTTTAGAAGATCAGTCGATCAAAGAGAGCGCCGTCCATTGCCGATACTCGAGGCGGTGCTTCATCAAAGGAGCGGCGACCACACGAAAAATTGTCAACATGTTGCAGCCTCGAATAGCCAGGATCGAGATCCGAATGGGATCAGTGCGCGATCGCAGGCACTTCGAAGTGACTGCAGAGGCGCGTATTAAAATGCGAGCACATAAACAAAACTGAAAAACAAGAAGAAGAAGAAGATGGAGATGGAGATGGAGAAGAAGCAGAAGCAGAAGAATGAAGGTGGAAAGAATTAAAATAAAGAGCAATAAAAAATCAATTTACTAAAAATGAGCCACAAATCGAGGATCAGCAGGTCGCGACGCTGATGAGGACGATGAGTAGAACGTTAATAATTTGTCACTGCAAATGAAGGAATAAAAACAAACAGAGAAAACCACTTGAGCGGCGGCCAAGTGAATGAATAAAACCGAACAAAAAATAACAGAAGAAAAAAACAAACAAGCCAACAGTATCGAGGAGGGGTTCGGGAACACTTAGGATTAAAGCGGCGCTTTAAGTGGTTTTTTATAAGTCTCT